CACATTACTAAGCAATGTATAAAAGTTCTTCTGCTACTAGACGTAACCTCATTCACATATAAAAGCGATCCCAGTGCATGTTAATATCGCTGGGGAATAAATAAATTCACCTTTTTCTTTTTTCGGTGTAACCTTGGCCAGTCGAATAGGAAATGAAGAGGTCGACAGAACGGCCGCTTTGTATGGAAGTGTCATTCGCGGGATGTACCCACGTACCGACACGCGATTATACTGACATGCGAAGCGATCATAAAGGAAAATAAACCGGATTAAATTAAACATAATTCCGGCAAGGCATTCAGGAATTGTGAGTGATCGTTATTTTATTACATGAAGTATTTAAACTAACAACATGTTTATATAAATACAATATTTATTTGACATTATAAACTACAAGCTTTCGCCCGTAACTCCGTCCGCGTTGAATTAAAAAAGGAAGAGAGTAGCCTATGTGTTCTTCCAGACTATCCTCTACATCTATACCAAATTTCATCGAAGTCCGTTCAGCCCTTTAGAGTACAAACTCTAACAAATATCAATCCATCCACCTAAACTTTCGCATTTCATAACTTTCATATTAATATGATAATTTTATGTAATTCATTGAAACTTATCATTGAACATCTCTATAAACACTCTAATAAAATTATTTGTTGCATAATTCACGTTTACAATTGTAACAAAATAAATCAAAAGAGAAATTTCATCGTGACATTTCATGTCATTTAAAAGAAATATTGAGACGTGTATCCGCGCAGTCCGTAAGTAATTTCAAGCCCACAACCCTCGAGAGACTCAAGTATTAAACGTTTTATAGCCCTAATATCTTCAAATACGAAGCAGATTATCTCCGCGAGTTACTTAAGAGACATTTACTCACAATTGAATATTGAAGCTTATTTCAATAATATCAACGCGGGCCGGTCACATCTAAAATATTTGTTTGAAAATATCTGCAATTCTAATAATGTTCTGATTTAAATATTACATTACATAAAAACGCTTGAACGAGTTGAAACGCGGAAATTCAATAAGAACGTTACAAATATTTTCTATTAACTTATGAATTGGAAATGTTTGAAAGCATTCTACAACTTACCTCACTTTTATCTTGCATTCGATTCACGTGCGGTATGTCGGGACGGAACCGTTCGTAATGCGATCTGTTCGCATTCCGACAAATAGTCATAGCAAATGATGTCATTTAGAATTATGCATTTCGTTGTTTATCTCTTGTTCCAAACATTATGAATGAAATAACTACTCCCCATTTGCTGGTCAGTTTACCTTCATAGACAATGAAACAGGCTTGGAAGGAACTATAACTTATAAAAGTTTATTTCAACCAATAAAACGCAAAGTGAAACCTTGCCAAACGTTATTTTCCACTTTTTCCTTTACAACTAAACCTATAATTATAACAAATCACAAACTATGGCAAACCACTTTGCGTGTTAAACGACTTTTAAGATCATTAACGTAGCTTTTATAACAAAAGGGGAGGCTAACGAACAAAGAAATAGAAAATTATATGTCTTGCAACCATGAAAAGCGAAAACTTTATTTACATTATACTTAACATTGTGATAATCTACAAAATTAACTTATACTGGAACAAAAGCTTAATTTGACCTTTATTTAAATTTAATCACCACTTAAATGTGTCGAAATTTATAGTATTATATAAGCTTTCATCCGCGACTCCGTCAACGTAGAATTAAAAAAAAAGCAAGCAGCCTATGTGTTTTTCCAGACTATCTACATCTATGCCAAATGTCATCGAGATCCGTTCAGCAGTTTACGTTTCAAACTTTAACAAACATTCATCCACACTTTCGTATTTATCATATTAGTAAGATATTTATATTAATTTTGGCAGTAGAATTTATTATCAACCTGTAATAGTTTGCGAAAGGGTTATGCTTTTCTTCATTCATAAGTTGTGGTGCGTATAAGAAATTGGAAGTCAGATTTCAGAAATAGGAATTAATTACCTTTACAAATTAAGTAAAGAATTAGAGACGATAGTGGAAGTCAATCCCATTAGAGAACTAATTCGATGAATATAACGGAACGTAGTAACAGTTACTGTAATGTGATATTTAGAGCGGCTAACAATTTGTACAAAAATTTGAAACAATGTATTCATTGTTGACGATGTTGTATTGAATTTTTTAAAAGCTTTTATCATCTCTTTAGATGTTTGGATTGATTTTTCATAAAAGCAAAAATAAAACCAATACATGAAAATTATTACCTTTTATGCGCTAAAGTCTGTAACGTTCGGTTAATGGTTCATATATTTAACATAGTTTACGTATAATTTGATCTCCAGAAAAAAGTGAGTGAAGTAATTAAATCACTAACCCTCGTATTCCGTAAGAAAACTTATAAAACGGTAAGACCGGCATATTTTTGACCGACTTCCTAAAAGAAGGAGGTACTCAATTCGTCTGTGTTTTTTTTTATTTAATTTTTTATGTCTGTTACTGCACAATAAGGTTAGTTGTTCGAAAACTTTTATGAGTAGCTAGAAAACATTGTTGTGATTCCAACTTAAGAATCAAACACAATGACTGACTCTTTTCATCGCCTTAGTTCAAGAGCAAATAAAAGTTGAGTGCACTTAAAGCAGGCCAGTGCTATTAAACTCTTCAAAAATTATTTCTATACTCGGGAAAGTATTAAATATTAAAAAAAAATTAACCTGCCTCTAAAAAGTTTTGGCAGCTAAGAAGCTGATATTTTATTCATTAATAATCTCAAGTATAGTTCGTAGTAAACTTTTATTAGCATTATTTCGCATTTAGTATTTTCATAATAACTTTTCTTGATTCGTCTTAATGTATTCAGTGACCTAGAACTTTGAATCTAGAATTATAATCTAGAAAGATATGTCTTCTCTTCTCAAATCTTTATGTTCGTTGTGTTATAATATTTTACTACTTATTTCTTATTATTCATTTATAAACAAAATATTGCAACGTCTGTTTTATTTTTTAAATAATGTTTCTAAATACTACCGAATAAGATTAAATTGAAAACTGAGCTGAGGCGGCAAAAAATAAAGTACAAGTACGAGTATAATCTGTTTTTAAATACTAAGTTAACAGAAAGCTGTCTGGAATAATCGAATTACGATCTGCAGCAATTAACCAAACATTAGTTAGTGGATATTTAATAAAAAATATAAACATAGACAATAACATCGACATAGACAAGACATAATACTCACAGACAAGTTTTTTATTTGTAAATATCTTTATTCAATAGTCATAGGAATTTAGCATAGAACTTGTATGGATGCAATTTAAATCATATGTATACAAAGATAAGAAATACACAAGTTACCTTATGCAATAAATGTACAACGTAATATGTAGCAATGTAGCACACAGCGTCACTCTGCGTTAAATGAAGAGCAGAGATTAATTGCATTTGCTAACAGACTAATTGCATTCGTTAGCGAACTTGAAACGGTTCAGCTCTAGAATTAATGTTGGCAATCAGAAGTTATAAGTTTCCGTTCCGTTCCAAGCACAAATTACTACAATGATTTAATAAAGAGTTTAACTTTAATATTTTCAATTAGTTTGTATAAATTATGGAAAATCAATGTTTTTTGTTAAAAGCAAAGTGAAAGGAAACTTTTAGGTTGGTTAGTTGACAAAAATTTAAAGAAGTATTCAAAACTACAATTTTGCAATAAAACAATTAAATAAGGTTCCTCCTAATACTTAATGAAATGTGATCTTATTTACTTAACAAATTATGTATATTATAATAAATAACGTGTAAAAAACACGTCTACATTTGCCAAAAGTTACAAAACAAAGCTTTAATTTCACCTCTGTTTTTGTCGATTTTTAAATGTTCTGTACACAGACACTTCAATTTGTTTTTGATTTTTGGAACTGAAATTGCAAGCTTTTTAAAAGCTTTATTGCGATAAATTCAGATATAAAACGTGTGAATATAGCAACTATTATTCCAGTTACTAAAATAAATAAATTGGGTACCAAATTACCAGTAATATTGTCATTACCGTTGTTTTCAAAATATAGATTCTGTAGTAAAATAATTAACCTAAATGCCCATTGTCTAGATAATAGTAAAATACTATAATAGTTCCATTCGTTAAATGCTAAAATCACAGCGACAGCACCCCATTAATCTAATTGGATCCTGAAGGCGACGCTTTTTTGTCCGCATGTCGACATCGATGGCGCGATTAACTAATTTCCACAGAGTCCTACTTCCTAAAATCGAAACTTGTAATAAACGAATTTCTATGGAGACGTTGCATTCAGTCCAAAGTGCGTGTTACTAAAACTGCAACATAACACGCAAACCTTTGTCACGTCATTGATGTTTATTGTATATTTCATGTCGGTTTACATTACTAAAAATTATGTACAGTCTTGTAAGGTAGACGGAAATATAGATTTGACAGTTTTGTTTGTATGAGAGAAGCTTTTACTTTAATGTAGCAGTCTTAAAAGAAAGCCCAGCCCACTTTGAACAAAAACCATTTAGGGCTACCATACACGGAATGTTCCAAACAGTCGATGCAGACAGCTAACAGATCGGTAGCTATTCAGCGGCGACAGGTGATCGCCTTGTATGGCGAATTATCACTATTAATTGCCAAACAGATCACTTGATGGTATTGAAGCCACTTGCATAGAGCAATCTAACTATAACAGCCTTTAAATTGTTCTTGTAAAACTACATCATTTCCCCAAACTGACGACTGTCTGTTTTGGGAAACTCATAGTAGGTTAGATTATCTATCATGTCGGCACCAGATACGGTTTCAAACCGCGCCAATTTACTTAATAAATGTGTATATTTTGTAGATAATGTGACGTCGGGATTACCTTTTACTGTTCTGCTATTATGAAGACCCTTTAAGACGCTCTACTGGGCTATACATATATAAGGAATGTTGTCGTTGTTACTGCTAGTAGATATTTGTAATTCTCACATTGTGTGTTAACGTGTCAAAGCGGGTATTAGTGTTAAAGGGAAACATAACTTCCGTAGCTCAGTAGGTGTGCCATAATCAGATTGCGGCACTCGTACAGCTTCGCCGTACACCTCGGCCGCTCCCACCAGCCGACTGACCCTAATCATAAATATAGGCCAACACAATAGGTTTACCTTAATCTTAGGCGACACCTTCGATTACTTGTAACCTTATCAATGAAACTCACCTTGATTCATACTTTTCTTTAATTTTTTGATCTTATCCTTAACCAAGAGCGATGTTCTGTACCCGTAAATTCTTTACAACTGTAAAGGAAAGTTCTAAGTTTAAAACTCACCTTAGGGTTGCATGTTGCGGGTACCCCCATCGCACCTCATTTGAGTGGGGGGTAAATTCACATATCAGGTGTGTGCGAAGCAGATTCAGGCTCACGTGGTGAGGCACAACACGCGACCGGCACTGGTGCGAGCGTACGGCTCCGGAACGATCAGATACACGTATGCTGTTGTTGTTGTTGTCGGCGGGCTACTGACGGCTGGAGCGCCGGGCAGGGCGCGCGGGGTGCGGGGCACAAGGGACAGGGCGCGGCTGCGCGTACTGCCGATCGCCCTCCCGCTCAATACGATGGCCATGAAAATTTCAGCCGAGCTGTCAACCGGTGGCGGCACGCAGGTCGGCCCGGCGCTCGTACCTTCGCCCACGCCGCTCCGAGCGCCCCCCACATACCACTATTTCTCATTAACCCGCCGCTACGCCACTATTAAATTGCGAATGCATTCTATATTCATATCTCAAAATACTGCTTAAGTGGTCTCCTCCCTAGAGGCTAATTATAATTTATCTCAACTTCAAGATTTAAGATCTTGAGCGCATTTATTTAACGAGAATTTAAGGATGCAGGTTTCTTTTTACTTGCTCTCTTAAAAATCATCAAAATACAGATGTGTCATGTGCTATGAATACTGTAAAAAGCGACTATTTATCATAACAATAACAAACAACAATCTAAGTGCAAGTTGTAGCCATCCTAGATAGCCTTTGAATTTGGATTTATCACTTGGCAGGCATCCATCCCAGTTGTGTGTACTGAAGTACTGAACTACCATGACGCTTTATGTGGTTATAAGTATTGTTTATGATCTATTCAAGATTGACGGTCTAAACATACTAGAGGGCGCTGATACTCAACGACTTACGTTTTGGTTCGTTATAACCCGTCTTATGTTGAAAGTGCAGTTTAACCCAAGGTTTCCAATCAAACAAAAAACTTAAATATTATTGAGTTTTATTTCACAACTAAAACATGTTATTTATTCGACACTGGTGGAAAACTATAAAATTACACGGCTAAAGTACATTTATTTACAAATAAAGAGTAGAGAGTATAAATACCGAAAAAAATACATTTAAAAAAATTACATACAACATTAAGGCATAATAATGTACAAGCCTATGTGGAATGGTATTTTACATAAACCGGTGCCTAACATACAGACCTAAAATGTACAATATTAACACAATGAGTATAACACTACACTTATAGGCACATTGTTTCCTGAATCGTGAGAGTACTTCGTAAGTTAATACTTTAGAAAACAATTAGTAACAAGTAACAGATACCAACAGTTAATTTCCTAGATATAATAATACCAGTGAGTTATCAAAGTGTCGTGTCTTGTAATTTATTAAAATCAGTCTAACGAGAAGTTTTTAAATAAAAATTAAATATAACTCAATAAGCTTATACATTACAAAGTTGATTGATAGAAGTAAATTGTACATTAAATAAATACAATAACAGATCCGATTAACTACATAATAAAAGAGTTTATATATTGATAAATACTAGGCACCCATATTAGCTATAATATTGACCTAGGTACAACTGTTCGTAGGTAAAAGTATATATTTAAATTCCCGCTATATTAATACCTTATATATTAAGCACCTATGTACGTTACAAAATTTCAAGATACTTTTATAGAACCTCGTAGACACCTCGAAAGATCATTTAAGAAATTCGGTTTACTTTTTTTTAGTTTTAAAGCTTTAAACATTCAGATTACAAACACGAGACAGCACCTTCCTAGGACATAGTTATATCGCCTTTGGCTACGTTAATTACTCTCTTAACCATATGAGATTCATTTCATATACATTTTCACATTCAATATATACAGACAGTTCATTAAACATTTAATAATCGAATATCACACCATAGGTAATATTTTAATATTTTAAAGGTGGTACGTTTTAATATACAACGCGATTCTACGCAATAATAATGCACTAATTAGAACACAATTGTTTTATAAGGGTGTTGACTGACTAACGATATTTATATAAAGCCACACACACGTTTGAATAAAACTGAGCAGTCGAATTGTTAAGCTTAAATTATCAGAACTGTGCGTATGCAGGCTCAATAATTACACAACAAGCATTAATGATAGTCTTTACGCACGGAAATTTACGTGTGTATGTTACGGAATAAATGTTCGTCGTGTAACGTTACGTCGGTCAGTACGCACCCTTATAGTGCACAGTATGGATTTTTTCATCTCTCACATTCTCTCGGAAAAAATAGAGACAACATGTGTTAAGGTTTCAATCGTCGAAATCCAAATAGTACTCATTTAGGTTTTTCACACACAAATCGAAACCTGTATACATATTATGTAAAATTCTAGAAATTTGTTGTTTTCAATATTCCATAACTTTTAAAGATCACTATTTCATAGTTTATTGTTCATTGTTTGAGAGACATAGATGAGCTGTGAATCACTTATTACTTATTGCATCTCTTTATTAAAAACAAACATTTATGAATGCATTCATGTTTCGGGCGAATGAAATAGACTAGTATTATGAAGTGTTGTAAAATATTTCTTACAAATTTAGATAATTTGTATTCAAGTTCGTTTGTTTTTTGGTTTTCCGTTTGCCACAGGTTCTGTTAGCTGCGACTTGCGCGGCCGCAGTATGAAGTTGAGGTTATATGCAGTGTTCACTGCGTAGTATACATTCGCATTGGCCGGGAGCACCATTTCTGAAACAAATATTTATTTGGTTAGAATAGGTAAAATATCTTAAGTCATAGAACTTGGATCAAAACCCAAGCAGGAATCAAACTTTGAAAGTACGACACTTTTTAATTACACACTTAGGTTTAGAATGTTTATCTAAACCTAATTGTAATATTAGAGCAAAGATGTGCATTTTTGTATGTATTGATATAACTCAAAAACTACTGGGCCGATTTCAAAAATTCTTTCACCATTAAAAAACTATTTTATCAATGAGTAACATAGGCATATTTTATTATTATTTTAATTTTACGCGGACGAAGTCGCGAGCAACAGCTATAGTGAATAATGAATAAGAATTAATTACCTTACACTCACAACTCATTTATGAAAATAAATATTATCTTTGTAAAACATAAAATTTAGGACAAATAATTTATTAACCAACCTCGATCAGGTAGGACCTGTGCGAGCGTGTAGGCGTCGGGGTCGCCGTCGAGGTTCAGTTTTAGCATGGCGTTGCGGATGACCTGCGGCGTGCGCTCATTGTTGCTCAACATTATCGACTTGTACAGCACCACGCCCTCCGTCTCCACGCAATCAGATTCATACGTCACACGGATTATGTAGAAATCTGGACCGTTTCGTGTATTCGCATATGCCGGACTGATTGCAGGAACTTTCCCGTTCGGCGGCTTCTGGCCACTGTTCGCGCTCGATAATGACACATCTAAAGAGGGCAGGGAGGAGGAGGAGGAACCATGCGACAGTCTGGTGGGCGACGTCCGCCTCTCCAGGCTGTCCCGCTTCCAGGCGTTGGTGACGCCGTCCGTCTCGCAGTAAAATTGCGAACTGTTACTAGAACTCGTGCTAGCGATGGAATCATTTTTCCTATGACACTGGTTGTTATTGTCGGCGATCTTTCTCGGCCTCCTCTCTTTGGGTGGGTTCGTGGGCGGTTCTATTTGACAGGAGAGCTGGTACGCCTCGCGATCGTCAAGAATTATGACGGAATCGAACCATCTGTCGAACATCGCGTCCGATGGTAAATGGTAAGCGTTTGCGGCACCCTGTAATAACTTTATTTGCGCCAGCACCTCAAATTCTTTTCGTCGTTTGTCGAAATTTATCAAGCCGTCCGCCACCGTATCGGGGATAGCGGTATCGATCATAGTGAGATCGGTTAGAAATGTTCCTAGATAAGGAATAGTGCCGTGGCTGACGCCGGGCGAGCCGCGCTCGTGCAGCAGCTTCTGCAGCTGGCGATCGTTTTCACCGACCGTGTCCGCAAACTTAGCGGTGCCCTCGCGCATCAGAAGTTCCCTCTGAGCCCATCGGTTGTTATCCTCGCTAAAAATTCTCGCCAACTCCTCAAACAGCTCCGATTTTTCTTTCGGAAGCAGCGCCCACGTCTTCCTCAATCTATACACCGCGTTGCTCTGTAATCCGGAGATGATCGCTTTCAACGAAGAAAAGTTTTTAAGCACTCTTAATTCCCGCGCGATATCGAACCACGCGGAAAGTATCTCGGCTCGGTCGGCCGGCCTCAAGTTCGGCTCCACTAGAATGGTCGATATAACTCTAAACGATACTGCATTAAACTGATTGACGGTGGCTAAAACGGTGGCGGCGTCGTGCGATCGATCCTTGTCCCTCCTCGACCATATGGCACCGAGACACTGATGCGGGACCAGCTTCTTGAACAGCTCCATGTCCATTCGTGTGAGTTGTTCTGCGAAGTGCGTGTGCGGCACGTGCGGCAGGCGGTAGGTGCTGGTGTGGTGCGCCGGCAGCCGCATGCCGGGCGCCAGGCACACGCCGCCCCCGCCGCCCGCGCCCCCGCCCCCGCCCCCGCCACCATTGCGCTCTGCACTGAACACAGCTAGCTTCTGTAATACCTGCAAAATTTACTTACGTTTATAATACTATACTAAACTATAGAGATTTTATGTAAGGGTGCAAATGAGAAAAGAACCTTCAAATGTAGCTCCGAGCCAGGCAAGTGAAGCTGAGTGAAGGCGAGTAGCTGCTGCAGTGCGGGGTGGTGCGGAGGTTGTCGAAAGTCCTCCGGGTAGGTGTCCAACCATACGTGGAGACATGCCACCAGAGTCCTAACAACGAAATTAGATTATTACAAGACGGAACTTGTGAAGGTCATGAAAATGTTCGATTTCCATGCGCGAGGTTATTGAGAAAAGGCTTAAACATTTGATACAATATAAAATGAAGCAGTAGCAAAAAGAGTAGAGGTATATGGTGTGTTGGGTAGTTACTTTCGATGTTGGTGTGAGTGGTCTGCGCCGGGCACGGCGGGGGCGTGTGAGGGCAGCGTGTCCTCCGCTGCGAGCGTCTCATAGCGCCGCACCAGCAGATCCAGCACGCGGCTGCATTCCGCAAATGAACTGAAAACATTATAGCACTTCGATTAGATTTTATAATTAAAACATGAAGAGCACTCCTAAGGGATTGATGATGAAACATTAAGGTAGAAGTCAATTAATTTTCAATTATATATTTGCTTGTCCCTGACAATAAGATTTCAAATAAAGTTATGCTTTGTGCAATATAACAAAAGACATTTAACTTACACTTACGTTTTTTATTTGCTCCAGTGGCCATATGATTAAATCATTGGTTTGATAAGATATATTTTATACTCAAAATCTTATTTCAAACATAATAAAATTCGAAAACCAAGGATACTCTAAAAAGAAAGAATACTTTATGATTATTTTATTTAATAATTCTATGTTAAGGTGCTCATATTTCTTTGATTTAGTATTACATACAGGGTCTAGGTTTAGATTTGGAGTGACTCCTATCAACGCTAGCACGTTCGCATGCACGCGTAGATGTATAATTGAGGAAGAGGCAAAAAACATGCCAGGAGTATGTCAAATAGAAATCTGTCTACCCCTAGGGAAGTTTTGTTATATTTACCGGTAAGTAGCAAGGAATACGTTGACGTATGTGGACTCTAGCTCGCCGTCATCGGTGGCCAGCGCCTCCACCAGCCGCTCGACGGTGCCAGCCTTCACGAAGCGCACTCGCACCGTCTCCCACTCCAAGTGAGAGATCTCGTCATCTGACTCCTGGAAGTTAAGTGTTGAACAAACGTTAGCCGATATATTGATTGTTGCATTGTTGATGGCAATTTGTGTTCAGCTGCAATTGTTCCTAATGAAAACAGACGGGATGAGCAATTTAGTAATTTAACATTCCATTGATGATAGACGTCTCATCGAAGTTTGTGTCGTACTAGTTCCTTGTTTAGTTTTTTTTAAAACACTTACACACAATAATTGTTAATCTATGTTTTGTAAGGTTTTGAATATCGCTGTTTCTTTAGTTAGCATTACACAAAGAAAATAACTCATCCACTGGTACTAAAATTAAATCTTAAGATTGAATAATTTTTATTAGGAAACATACAACTAAGTACAAAGTTAACTAAAATAAATTATTTCTGAATAACTGTATAATATAACCACGGCTTGGGAATACGGCGCAAGATAATATTAAAAATAACAAACAGTTGACATTGCAAGTACAAATTATTTTTGATCATGAATCATACATAGGTAATGACGTAACTAACCGAGATAATGTGTATAGTACTATGAAGTAACCACAAATGACTCTTAATAAATATAAATTTATGCAAAAAATATGTTACGCATAAAATGTTACTGTTTTTCTTAGAATACATTACTAACAATAATCTGCTCCACTGCACTACAATCGACGTAATAGTCAATTTTAAAAAGAGTAATGGATTAGAATATTGAAATTGATAAAAAAAAAACATTTTAGGGCACGCGCATACGTTTTACTAAACAATCGCACAACTGTTTAGTGGCGCTTTGATTCCTATGAGCTTATATGGAGGTGCGCACACTACTCGATTTTTAGTTCTGCAACTAAACAGTTGAATTGACGGCGAAGCAATCGCACAACAGTTGTTCGATAGTTTAGTCAAAGGTGTCAATTTTATTTTATGACATACTAAGTATCGCACGCGGCTCCGCCTGCGTTAAATAAAAAAAAAACAAAAGTGAGTGGCTTATTTGTTTTTCCAGACTATCCTCTACATTTATGCCAATACATCGGGATCCATTCAGTCGTTTAGGCTACAAACTCTGACAAACATCTATCCATCCATCTAAATTTAGCATTTATAATATTAAGTATGATGTTCTGAATATTAAAATTATTTCGTAATGTATAAAAATGCACACTTACACTAGAAGCGCTCCTCGTGGGTCGATGGTAGCGAACCTTCTTCAGATAGACGGTGTAAATCGCGCCGTCCACACGCTCCTCGCCCCACAACCGCCATGTCGGCTGCTGGAACATAGTACAAAATCCTTAATGCATCTAAACAGTATACAATACTAAACATACTTTTCAGATAAAAATTAAAATACCATGTTCAGGATCATTATAAAATAACACAGACTGTAATAAAAACTTAAAAATAAAAAACACTTAAATATGAATGTTCTGTACTATAAAACAGTGTTCATCTTTGTGTCCTGTGGCGATGTATGTAAACTATACTGTACTGCAATACTATCAGAGGAATATAATTACACAAAGCACTATATACATTGACTTCATGCAACATATACCACTTCCTATTGTTGCTATTTTAATACTGCAAGATCAATAATGTTATAAAAACAACTATAGAAGTTAAGTAACGCAAATAGATTGAAAGTATAAGAGACGCCCAGGACGGGCCATCGATTAAATCAATGACGTACAAAATATCGAGCGTCGGTGGCTCAGTGGTTTAAGCACTTGACTTGTAATCTACAGTTCTTGGGTTCGAATCCCGCCGTGTACCAATGTGATTTTCGATTTTTCGAATTTTCATATTTACATAAGTTACCCGACGTTCTTACGGTGAATGACATCGTGATGCAACCTTCACATATCGGCGAGGAAATTCAAAGATATGTGTGAAGTCAACCAACCCGCACTTGGCCAGCGTGGTTGACTATGGCCTAGTCACCCTTACTTAGGGTAGGCTCCGAGCCCCTCGGTGGGGACGTATAGTGAGCTGGTGATGATGATGATGATGTACAAAATATGCGCGTAAGCGAAAAGTATATATCAAGACTATGCTAGAGCTAAAAAAAATTACGTCTGTTTGTCTTTCCTTTTCACTGATTTATAAAAATATTAGCAATAAATTAAACCATATCTAAATCGCTGCAAGTCCAACAAAAAAGTATAAAATCTGAAATGTAGTAACATCAATTAATGTATTGCTCACAGTGCAACCGTACATATGTATAACACACAATAACAAAATTTCTAGAAAAATACTCCGGATAGCAACAAAATCAACCTACGCCGCGCGATGTAGCTATTAAAATAGTTTAAATGTTTAACAAACGCATTTTATTTGCAGAAATGGTTTAAAGAACAATGTAATAGTCCATATCAACAAATATCATAAAAACGCATTTTCTAAAGATAAGAATGTTAGTAAAAATTGTGACCAATTTCTAATATTATACTTTCAATTTCGTTTTTCTTTTAGTAGATCACGGATAAATATCCAAAACATCAAAGGAAAATAATCTTAGAAAATGGTGGAGAGTTTATTTATGAAAATTGATTCAAGGTAAAATTGATAAGCATATGATTCTCTTACAAATTCGTCATCGATTGCATCTGCAAAATGTACGGACTGGGCTTTGCTGACGCCGCATATTCTCCACATGGCCACTGGCCCATATTGTGTGACGTCACGTGAGTCCAGCTGAGCGCCGCATCACGAACACTTTCACTGCTGCGTTACCATATCAAGTCGATATATCACACAAATCCGATACCAATTGGCTTAATCGAGATCAAAACGAATCACTAACGAGCACGAGAGACGCGCGAACGTGCGTGACGACGGTGAAATCAGACGCGACACACTTGTAAACGCAGCTATCCGCTAACCGGCACCACTGATATCCCAACACAGCGATTACGCGATTTTGATTCCGATTATTAGATGCAATATACAGCAAATCGATTATTAGATTTACAAAACACAGTGACAGTGACAACAACAGCTTGAAATGAGTTAACCGGTAGCTCTCCTATGTGTGTGTCTAATAACTTCCTCAAATACGTAACACTATGTAAAAATCTTCTTTATGACATCACAAATTTGCATGTTATCGAAAAGAATTTTCATTAATAAATTAACTACACAATACATCGCCGATTGCAACAAACCGTTTATCAACGTAAACACGACACTAATGAACGTAACGAGTACTTTTAAGTGGGTTTGTTTAAATTAATTTACTATATTCAACGAGGATAATACTTAATATGGGAATAGAGACGCGGTTGTAGAGGCGTGGACGCAATACGACTGTTCTCTCGCGGAGAGATCGCGTGAAAAACTGCGATAGAACACGTCAGAGACGCGAAGTGCCGCGGAATTACCACAAGAATACCGACAGATACGTACACACACCAGGTGAAGTGATCAATTAAGCATGATACACACGTGTTTATAGATTAAATTAGAATGTATATTCAAATAACAGTTACAAAAAACAAAATAAGCTTTCACTGGAGTAATCAGAGAGTTATTATCATAAAAGTTTCTACAAGTTTGAGTTACCAAAATAATCAAAGACCCCGGATAGAAATTTTTACAAATCGTAAATGAATTTTATGTCGATATTTGAATAATGAAAAAAATATTAAAACATTACTTATAAGCAAACAAAACTTTAACATTGAACGTTGCGATGGTTGTAACCGTCATGTTTTACTTTATAAAATGGTCGCATTGCAGAAATATAAATGGTAGACGAATAATAAGGAATATAAAAGTGGCCACAATTTGTTACAGCTGGAATAACACAAATAAAAAGGTTGTGCAAGACGTAGTTGGTTCAACGACGCGTCCGGAGCCGCCAGGGCGCCCCGTGACCTCTGTTAACCTTTCACAATCGTAGGGTTGCCATTAACGAAATCACAGACCCTAAGTAACGAGCATTTAGATACAGTTTATGCGTTCTATTAATAAATTATAACTAAATATGACGTAGTGTTCAAAAGGTTAGTCGCTCGACATAATTACGCATATTCAATCTAATTATAATTCGATACAATACCAGCTCTACTAAAGGTATTAGCGGCATGGAATAAAGGAGACTAAGGAATTACAAGATTTAAGTACTAATTTTAGTACCTAACTCTTCCTTTTATAAGACCAAAGTAACCTTCTTAAAACAATTTAAGCCTTAGCATTTTTAAAATGTAAAATGAAAGTTAAACGACGAAAATATATAAAAAGAGCTAGATTTAGAACAGTGAGTTTTTTATCGTAACATACGCGACGTTCTCCCATGTTTTGTTGTGTTTTGTTTGTGACCCGGCTTTCATTTAATTGACTGTGACTGCTTGTGCTACTGATCTTGGCGTTAAATTACACTTCGATTGTGTTTTCGCAACAATGCCAAGAAAAAGGTTGCAAACTGCTTCATAACGCCGAAAGTTGGACAAGACAAATATTGAAAAACGTGGCTTAAGTTAGATTGATAGGACTGTAATAGTAAAACATACATAAATTTAAACGTTAACAACAAATACCAATAGCCTAAGAATTATGCTTTTAACAATATTTTACTGCAAACAATGTTATATAAGTAAAAAGTAATTTTAACCTACAGTTAACATAACTAAAATATTTCCTCTTCCGGTTACTGTCATAGGGGTATATTATGTGTATGACATTATGTAAATATAAATCGTCTTTGTGTGAAACACGTTATTGACATTACAATATGTACCTATTTATTAAAAAAAAATGTAATGGTGTAAAAGTGCAATAATAAAAAACTAATTAAGTTGTATTAATAGTTTCACAAATTCTTCTGCTTTAAAAGTAAACAACATTTCAATTTCAGTTTAAATTTCAGGAGATTAAACTATTATATCGACATGAAAGCTTTCAGAACAAGTGTAGACATAGTAAACATAGTGGAACATTTTACCGATACCTTGTATCGATCGAGACGTGCAACGGTATCGCGGAGTTCTAAAAATAACTAAAGAGAAAATTATCCCTGTCCTTCAACTATCTGACTCCTTATTAAGACAGGAAAGTAAATCTTTTACAGAAATTTGTTAGGGATATCAAGAAATTTATGAAATGTTGGTAGTAAAATATATCCTTATTTATACTTTTTGTACCAATATTACAATCCTTCTAGTAGATTTACACATTTAGTAACTATAAAGTGGAGGTTTATTAAATGTGTTTACATATCCTAATAGCAGTAAATACCCCGGTTAGACTAGTCTGTAAATAAAATATTTCTAGGCAAAATGCGAGGTGTCCATTACAACTTGGACATCATTAAATTACTTTTATTTTATGTATGTTCTGCCTTTTCATACACATGAGAAAAACAATTCAAAATCCGAATTCTTGCTTCTTATAGAATTAGTTGAAAAATGAAAGCATTTCACGTTATAGATTTCTTTCAGTAACTAACAGTTTAAGCCATAATTACAGACGCTATATGTGATGTTGTTAGTAAAAGCAGGAGTTTGTAGGGTGCAATTTGTACCAGCCCCGACATAAAGACATCGCTCCCCATACCATTAAAATTAATAATGGTACTTGTGACAAAAATATAACGACTTTCTCGTAAGGCGAAAAAGTTGTTCTTTTTTTCCCGTCCAAAATGACTGATTTCATAATGAATTGGGGCCTTAAAAATTGTTAACGATTATAAATTGTAAAGTCCTCTAAAGAGTAGGCCCTAGAACGGACCGTCACCATCGAGTTTGTCGATTTTTGTTTTAATTGACTGATGATAATCCTTTCACATTCTCGACTGAAAATCTTTATGGTCATAAAGTATAAACGTAATTTGAGCAGAAGTTAATATGTCGCAGGGTAGGGAGTCCGTTGGCGTGCACGGCGCGTGACGGACGCGCTCCGGCGCAGCGCCCTACGCAATGATCACTCCGGAAGTACTACCAGCAATTGACCAATACAACTATGTCAAGTAGATGTATTTATAGACCTAACAAACTATACAACAAAGGAAGTGTTAATATGTTAATCGGCGGGTGCTTATGTTTGACGCGAAACTCATTCATTAACTAGCGACCAAACATTATCCCATACAACGATACGTCAGGGGAAACTTTAAAGTTGCTCCCAATTCTGAAAAATTCAAGGAGAGACGTTTACTTTGGTACAGCCACGTTCACAGGCGACACAAGGATCACATCAAATTGGCAATAAACATACCCACGACAACACGAAATAGCAGAAAACCATCGACCAATCAGATGACGACAATTCAAAAGGGTCTGAAAGTAATCCACCTCGACGATAAAGCCTCTGAGAATCATGGTGTCTGGTAAATTAGGACAAGGAAGGATTACCCCAAATAATTGGGCATAAGTATATATAGAGGAAGAATATTGTGAACGAGCACTAACAGTTACACATACAAAGATATTCACCATGGTATTTTAAGGTGATCATGAAGGACCTACATTTTTTTTATTTTAGCTTACGTAATAAAGTTAATTTTATTCTATTAATTTTCGCATTGTACGATTTGTAGCTGCTTCCTCAGCTGATAACTCCTGAGAAACGTATTGTTTCATTGTGCTAAGATTTTAAATCATTTACATAATAATTTGATAATTTAAATAATCGCAGATAGGAGCACCCAGCTCTACGACTGTGACGATTGTAATATTAAAGTATAAGAAGTTTACATAAAGTTATAAGTAGACATTGTGGCTCTAAAACGAAAGAAATAATGTTTCAATCATTAGCATTTAGTTGCTTCTTCTGATGTGTTAAAAAAGCGATTTATAATACCACGGTAAAAGTTGCAAGTGCCGCGCTTAGAAAGCTAGAAAACGTACCCGTTTTAATATGTATGGGAGGTAGTCTATCTGCTTCCTAGAGAAATCTTTTACATCACATTATTATACTACTGTGCGACAAGATGCATCTCAAAGATATTTTGGCACATAGAGAGAAAAAAAAATGGAACGGTTGAAAAACGCCGATATTGTTAGTGTCCTATTGTAAAAAGCAATCTGCGAAAATTGACTTCTCTGCCAAAAAATATACAATGAAGAATATTTTACCTAGTAACTTAGGAGGCGATTGATACCAAAATGAAAACTTCAAAAAAATCCGAAACAAGAGGTTTCGCTGCTATGTGGGCTAATTTTGCTACCTAATATATCCAACTTGCCGTTTTCAAATTAACAGTTCTCATTTGCATTTTTATTAATGTTTGACAAGATTATAGTTTAACGCTATCAAAACTAGTGAGAAAGTGGATGTGGTTCGGGTTCGTCGCCCCCGATACCTCTGCAGGCAGCAGCAATCAATACTAAAAGTCTAGAAACATAGTCGGTCTCGATTGCCACTTAGTCAATCGTGAACCTCATTCATCTGAGTTATTAGTTCACAGTTCCACCTTAGAGTTTTAATCAACACTTAATACATTCCTAATATTCGTCGGAGCGTTTAATTGGCGTTCCAATTACAGGTATGATATACATAAATAACGTATTAAATTGCATTAATACAATGTCATATTCACGTGTTATTATACGACCGACAGTCTTACGTCCGCTGTTAAAAAACAATGATTGTTTATATTTGAAATCGAATCCTTATGAATTTTATATTTGCATCTACAAAATGCTAGAAAACATGTTTCTTTTCTCCTATAACATTGTTTCTATCGCACTGTCGCACAGCACATGCGGTTTGGTTATTGTTTATATCACTATAGTGGATTTAGGAATATAATTTGTAAATTTTGACGATCTTTTGTTTCCGTTACATGTTCTATAATGACTATACCACGTATAATAATTTAGTACATGGTTTAAACACACAATTGGTATTAGTAACACGGTCTGAAACTAACGCGAGACAAAGGCCACCAGTGCGGCAGCGACCACCGCAATTAGTAAGTTAGACACTGCTGATTCACTCAATACACGACTCGAATTGCAACGTTAAATCATTCAAATCGATGGAAAATTTAAAAACAAATCATCGATGCCCATACGACTATTGTTAATTGGGATGTAAATAAACTAGGTTTAGGTAATATCAGTACATCAGAAAACAATATCTCTGTATAAATAAATTGTAATGGAAACTGCATCAGTGCACTAACACGATCGGAGCTAGTGACTTATTAAAACTGTAACTGTTACTTTTTAAATTAATTATATATTTATGGTAAAAGACATAAATTACATAAACTAAAGATTCTCCGTCTTTCGTCTCCGCTTTTAGAAAGCAACCTTAATGTTATATAAAACTGTTATTGGTGATTACATGAAAACGACGCGGTTTTCCATTACATCTACTCGTTATTTTGGCAATGACATACGAGAATATTTTAGAATCCACGATTATCATATACAAGTTTCCGAATGAAATTGCATGAAAGTACATAGTTAACAATATTGTATGCCAGGGTCGGGTCGATAGTACTAACAAACAAGCAACAATGGCCTCCGCACCGCAGAAGACACGTCAAACTATGAATCACCAACACACCATAAAATTCATGTTGGGATTACATTCCTTTTCTTATTAGGCCAGTTATCGGAAAGCAGTTATATTTCGATGACTATTTTTCAATATAAACACTAAGTTCATTCGTCATCATTATTACATTCTGCAATTTAATTCATTATGACAAAGAGAATTAACCTATGTCATAAAATAAATGAAAGAACTCTTTTATTACTTTGACAAAGATTTGAAAATTAAAAATACATGAGACACTTTGGCGAGACAGAATGAGAACTGTGTCAAAAGTCTTCATCGGTATACAGGGCGTCCTATTTCCGCTTCCCGCGGATGCAGCCACGTTGTTGATGCAAATGTCTACGAAACATAAATATCTCCACCACACTTCTTTGAAATGTTAATATCTCTAACTTTACTTGAAATATGCATTAATCAAAATGCTTTTACATTGAAATTTATAATGTTTTTCTCCCATTTTAATAAAGTTTTCTTCCGTCGATTTCGATTATTCTACATAATCCAAAAATGAAATATTACGGTTAGTCCTAGATTTTTATAATCAAAATTTAAAAAAGTCATAGTACGCAATTTGGTCTCTAGTAATACAAAAAAATAGAACATTTTCATTTCAACCCAAAGCTAGAGGTCCATAAATGGAAGAGTCATACTGGCTAATAAATTACGTCACAAGACTGAGTTAAAATAAAAACATATCAACTATTGCTTGTTTAAACGTTAAGTATACAGAAAATTAGATATTTAATGTTTCGAAACATTTGTTACATAGAGGCGGAAACCAAAGATGGATGTAACTGCATAACAGCAGTACGCACATCATTCGAAGGAATGTTGACGCGCTCTGAATTCGGAACTGCGGCGCTGTCGCAACACACATGACATGCATACAACACGACAAAACTACCATAACACATTCCATTAGTGTTTACGACGTGCTATATTATGTAGGTTAATCTGAAATAAGCAACAATAAGGCGTTAAAAATAAATGTTAGCTAACGAAACGAATTCTTACTCAAAGGCAGCATCTTCTTAGGTTCATCTAAAACTTACCAAATTCAAGACTAATTTCAAGTTTCCAGTTCTATTTAAATTTTTGACTATTATCATTTACTTTTCAATGATTCAATGTTTATTTTAAAAATCTTACTTGTCCGTGATAATGAGAATTCGATTTAGTCATCGATCCATCAAAAACGGAAGTCGACAATTTCAACGCTATAGATATACTTATGTGTAAATAAAATGTAACAATATACATATCGTAATCTGAATTCCATTTCGATAAGATATAGGTTTTATATACAAACAACGAGTGATGATTGACTTTGTTCGCATATTTTAAGGGTGTATATCTTTTGATATTTTACGTTAAGAGATGTTTTTAACAGTCTTCAAAAAGGAGAATGTTCTAACTTTTATCAGTTTAGTATCGAGTCCAGTAACCACTGGTGTAAATATAAAAGTTTCGGTTTGTTGAAATAGGTTGTACAATTCCATAGATTCTACGGTCTTCTCAGGTTGTCAAGTCCAAGACCTCCACTAACCTTGACATACCATCGCGTCTGCGACTTGCGGTGCCTAGTGCGAGCACGGTCGACGCTGCGAGACTCCTCGCGCGCCGGCGAGCACAGCGCGTGGCACCTAGCCGCCAGGGCCTTGGTCCTCTCCGCCAGCGAGTGCCGGAGCTCGCCCCCTGCGCAACCCCGCACCAGCATACCTCATCCACACCACACCTCTTTACACAACACTTTCTTATATCCCACCAAATCATTCATGTCTAATAAGCTCCACTAGCTATAATAAAATGGGTCTCTTTATCCGGTAATAGTCAATGCCATGTTCAATGTTGTTAAATCTCCAAATAGAATAACAATAAAGTTTTCATGTCCATTCAATCAGTGCTGTGTCATCAAATGATGATGTCACTGTGGGCAACGTTCTAATTAATTTCATTACCGACCCGAAGTCAATTAGTCAGGGTCTGGGTCAAAGAATCAGATTAAAGGTAAAGTTATAACTATTAGAATATAATAACAGCACAGTACAGGATGACAGTATATTAGCAGACTAACGAAAACTAAACAAGAAAAACTGTTAATGGCTTTAACTGTTGTTCGATTGTTTCGCCGCCAATTCAACTGTTTAGTTGCACATCTAAAAATCGAATAGTGTGCGCACCTCCATATAAGGTCATAGGAATTAAAGCAAGATTAAACAGTTCTGTAATAGTTTAATTTGAGGTGTGGGCATGTTGTTAATTTCAAATATACTTTAAAGTAAACATCGTAAAACTTTCTATCCCCTTTTGAACCTGTAATCAACGTAAGCCCAATGATACAGACACCGATATTCAACAATAAGAGGGATATCCTCATTGGGAAACAGTGACATAGTTTTATACGAATGTGTGAACGTCCGACATAAGAACAGGGGCCAAAATATCTGTCTTTAGAAAAGTGTACGTAGAATGTCATAATATCGTACCTCGATAAAGTTTTTTCTACTTATGAATCAAACCGTTTGAAAACATTACTTTAAATAAAAACTAACCAGAGAACAATTTGTTATCATAATATCCCTTCACTCAGGAGAAGATATTATAAATGGTTAAACATACCATTGTAGAAACCAATGTGCTTTTAAATATATGTTACTTGGGTTTAAAAATTGGAAATCCGTACTAATCTATACTTCTATACTAATATTATTAAGAGGAAAGACTCCGATTTTTGGATTTTTGTATTTGAAATAACTCAAAAACTACTGGTCCGATTTCAAAAATTCTTTCACCATTAAAAGCTACGTTATCTGTGTGTGACATAGGCATAATTTCACTCAGACCAAGTCGCGAGCAACAATAGCTAATCATTTATATAATAAAAATTACGCGGTACAAGTACCCTAGTATTGTTATTGCAAATGGCGATGACGATAAAAGAATGCATTAAAAAAGATATCAAAAACCCAAAGGAAATACCAAATGGTATCTAATAGCGATATTCGAAGATTACAAAAATAATAACGCTTTATCTCTTTTACTTATAGTGAAACATGTGGCTTTCGAACCTTTTTTTTTTAAAAAAAAAAAGGGCGACAGGTGGCATGCCGTACCTGACAATTCATTTTAACAAACTGTTCAAAAAGGTGGCTCCGTGCTACAGACCAACTTGTATACGATAATATTGACGAAGACATTTTATAATTTGCAATCATTTTCACAGAACAAATGGCGAAAGATAATCTTAAAACAGGTTAATGAATGTCTAAACTGAAGGTATTAGCGATGAGCAACTAAAATATCGAATTGAGTGAATATTGTTTATGTTTTATATACTAACCTTAAGACTGATAACCCAAAGAGGATTGTCTTTAGGTTATCAACCTTTACCTCCGATAATTTGAGAGTCTAGGTGCTGTCTTTTACATCAATATAATAGAACAACCTTCTGTTTTAGAATAGCTCTTGAATGTGCTCAAAATAATATACCAATAAGAATATTACGATACGAATAGATATTAGAATATCATAGTTAGGAAACTTAATAACGATTTTATAACCGATCAAGTAATTAGTAATGACAAAAATAACGCAAACTTATTACCACCATTGTATACTATAAATTAAACCTGGCATTGACTACATCCTGTGATAGTTGGACCCTAATTAATGTACCTGACATTTAATTACCATGCAAAATAACTTGTTAACGATAAACACGACAAAAATTAAAACTGTTATTGTTTATGACCACTGTTCACTAAACTACTGTTTAACACATTTAGTTTTTAAACATAAACTTTCAAAAAAAATAGTAATCATACACAAAATGCAAAAAAAGGCAGCGATGTATTCTTGTATGGCAAATGAGTGATACAAAATGCCCTTCCGCGACTGGTGTCGTCGTGTGACTGACTGAGACGGCAGCTTGAGTACGCGAGCGTCACGAGAGTCGAGCTGAACGTATACGCGAGACAAGAGCAGGGGCAATACGCATGCGCGGGAACGATCTCGGCTTTTCCGAATCGTTTCGTCGTTCTGATGTCATTGTACTTACTACCGTAGGGTTTATGACGTCTCCTTGTAGAGCCGGCCTAAGCAAGTTAACTCTTGATTTATTAACTCCGCAAGCGTTAACAGGTTTCGACGTTAAAAGTCCTAAACTTACAACACGCTGTAGGTTTCATATTTGCACGCTATTATACTTAGAAGGTAAATAAATTGGAAAAAATGCCAAACGAGAAAGGGACAAAAACGACAAGCCAATAGCGACAAAGAAACAAGGTTGCCATGGTTACTTAAATTCCCAGCAAATGGCAAGGAACTGCGTTGTTATTTAAGTATATAAATGTCACAATTTCAATTGAAAGTTATACGGAAAGTAAATAATTTGTTTTCAATAATATCTTAAGGATGAAGCCGCACAGTAACAGCTTCTAGGACAGGAAAGTCACAGACTGGCTATTAAAATTGTAATAGAGAATAGGCATTAAGCTAAATTCCAGGCAAAATAGAATTTACACGTCTATTTTAAAGTAAAATAATTATAAAAAATACGGGTTTGGTCATGTTTTATAGATACTTATCATGGACGTTATATCAATGATTATGGGTTATTTAATGATATCGGCCAAAGCCAACAAGCCATCGACCAGGAAGTAGATGTTTGTAAAAGTGCGCGGCTTTTACTCGCACTTTCTAAACAAAAATGCGGTTGGAAAATTATAGTGCGCGTTTTAAAATAAGAATAGATACTTACAGCTGTGCGAACTCCTTGTAGTCATATTAGCTTGGTTGCGAAGTTTCAATAAGAACTTACAATAATTTTGGTGCTTAAGTACAAGCACTTTTTCTCATTGGTTTCAATGCCAAATATAATGTTTTCTTCATAGCACTTGATAATAAAATGCATTATAAAACGTACATACTGGTGCTATTTTGGTGCTAAACTAACATTTTATAGCAGTTATCCTTATGGATAAACTTATGTTTAAGATACTTTCTACGCCTGGTCGGGATTCGTGGCTCTCTGGCTGATTGTACAAATAATTGGATCTAGAAATAAACTCTATTTTTTTAATTGAACCAAAAACCAATTAGTTTTTCATATAAAAAACCGATAATGTAGCTGAATACTTTGTTTGAATAGCCACGCTATCAATAGAATGTTTATTGCGTCACACGCTGTATTAATAACACCGGGTCCCACGAACACTTACGAAACAAGTGAAATTACTGAAACAACACAACAAATATTGCAATATGAATGTAATTACTACGGTACGTGTTACCACGATAAATAACCGTTCAGTTTGTACGCTACAAAGACCTATCCGGTATTAGAAATTGTACAGGAATTTCTTCCAGTTGGAAACAAGCTTAGCGTTAACTTTGAATACTGTAAAAAAGTAATCGAATTTCCCCTAATTTATTATATAAGTATTAACATTTAAAAAAAATAATAATAATATTGGGTAAATTCACAATTTTGTCTTTTATTTATATATTATTTATAATTTGTTACAAATGCGGTAATATTCCCCCACCATAAAACATTGCATTGGTCAGAATAAGATCCGGTGAAAGTTGTTTCAGATGGTATTAGTTGTTGTTTTCTCTGAGCACCCTATTTGGTAATATTGTCGTGACAACCTATACCTAGTTCGGTATAACTTAGTATTTTAAGCTATACCGCCGTCAAGACACTTGAAATCGGTTTGCAGCTGTACACACATATTCACACGGGTTTGACTACACTATACTTTCCCTTGTCCTCATTTCTTCTGCCCTTTCCCTTTCTTTAAGCGTTGTTTCTAACGACCACTTTTTGGGAAACGCTAATCGTGTAAAACTTGTAGTAGCTGTACAATTTCGTACATTTTGTTCGGTATCAAATGTTTGTAAAGAAACATTTGAAGGTTTTAGTCGAAACGTCTTTGACCTAACCCATATGCCTCTGGTATACGTGGGCCTAATATTGAAATAAAGGTGGGCGATTCTGCGAATGTAGAGATTACGTTAAGGTTGGTTTTTTATTTTTCCCTAAATCATTCTTATTAATCCTTGACTTCCTATATACTGTTGAATAAAACTACATATAATGTAATCAAACGTCGCGAGAAAACGAGAATAAAATCATAAGTACGTAGGTATAACTACCTACAATTAAAAGACTTGTATTCGATTACAGGCCACTAGTATATATGTAATGGCCAATGATCCTCGTAAAATCAGAGCTATTGGAAATAATACACTAAACTAAATAATACACTAAATACCTAATTCTGAGTTACATTTGAAGTTGTATAATAGGATGTCAAATGAATGGTAATTACAATAATATGTGTCAGTAGTATATTATAAATAAATTCGAATAATCATTGTTACAATATTTCATTTGTAAATGTTAGTTTTATGTGGGTATATTTTAACATTTCACGTAGTAGATAGGTTTTTCTATGTAGGCAGGAGCCTACTAGTAAAGTTACAATGACATTTCTTTCAACGTTATAACTATAATTAATACAATCAAATAACAATTTAAGTCGGGTATTTTTATAGTCAGTTTGACTATTTCTAACTGATTTCCAAAGGATGTTATCAATGCGTCTATATTTGTCTTTTTTACAATAAAATAAACTATGCGATTCCAAGCATTTCAGTGACCTTGGACATCACTGTTGAACGAGCGTAGGTTACGTTTACATTCTAATATCATCATTATAAATAGAAGATTGAATCGCCTTCCGAAGACGTACAAATTGGTCAATATTAAGTTATTCATCATAGAAACCGCACGTTAGCTGATTTGGTTAAACAGCAAGTGAACTTAGTCGACAATATAACAAATCAATACGAATATAAAAATGATATTACCAAGCTCTCAGCATCTTGGCTCATCGTTTTCTACGCATGGTTCCTGCAGGACACTCGCACGGGGACGAAGCTACCGGACCAGGTAACCATACACAATGCACCATTGCATATCAGCACAACAACACACCACATTCCATCACTGCATCCGCGTACAACATATGATCGCCCCGGCCGGTCACTCTGACGTCACTCGCTTTCTCGCAATACAAGGTTGTGTTGCATTTATTTTAATATGATATTTATAACTGGGATACTTCGGTGCGAACACTGATCATTGTCGATTTTTGTAATGTTTCACTTTTGCCAACCGTATCAACATAAGTTCGCGTGTAGTGGAAATGCGATCACAGTGACGCAGGTAATAACTTTCGCGCACGAACTGAGTGAAGCACGTCCGCGTCGTGGCACCGCACCGCGCACCGCGCACCGTCGACCGCCGCGAGCGCACACGTAACGGAACCGAGCCCCCGCCACCGCTACCGCCGCCGCTGTCGCCCTGGAGTTCGACTCACGAAACTCTCCACTCCACTACCGAGCAGACTCAACTCGCTTGCTCAAACAAAACACACGAATCACAATACAATGTATGCCGCTTATTGTTAAATTTGTTGTTGTATTTCATCGTTTAAATGTTTTATCAACATGTTATCAACAAGACGTGATCATATATTTAGACAAGGATATTGTAGCACGATCTGATTTGATTTAAATTATGCTGCTATTTAGTTTATCTAATGTACCTGATTTTGTAATTCCTTGTTATCTTCATTTTTCATGGTTTAGCAGGGTTATGTTTGGTTGTAGGTTCGAAACAATCAATTTTCATATTTTTTAAATGATGTCACGACAAATAGTAGGTAGTAACTTTAAAATATAATATTCATTATACCTAGTTATAGTTTAGTATTGTATCGTATCTTTGGTTTCCTCCTAGTTAACTTAGTAGTTTTTAGTAGCAATAATTGCTTATTTTTTCTATTTTTTGGATTATATAAGAGAGAAATATAAAATCTTTGAATTTTGGCCAGAAATTGCGTATTAATCGATGTGGATCATGGTAATTCCTGTATATGTAATATGTATAAATGTTCCAAATAAAAGCCCAAACATATCAATGTTTGATATCAATCAATGTACAAAAACAGGTATTACAAATTTACAAATTCTCTACCTACCTCCGGTTATTTTATTCGAACCATTTTTAATAGCAGGGTAAATGAAAAAAAGTTGTTAACAATAGTTTTTTTTATTTATATTATAAACCAGTGAGGTGGCATTGTCTTTATTTATTTGTATAAAAGCGACTCCGTCCGCGTGAAAATAAAAAAAAGTTAATAGCCTATGTGTTCTTCTAGACAATGCTCAATATCTATGTCAAATTTCATCAATATCCATTCAGCAGTCTATCCATCCAAAGTTTCGCATTTATATTAGTAAGATGTATTTAACTAAAACAAAATATTTACATCCTCCTAAAACGCATATTTTAAGTACCAATCTAGAAATCTAAAAAATACATTTATTAAATTAGCCATACAAATACGAAAAATGTTACCTATGTAAATTTTATTAAAATATCCTGGAAACATCATATTATTTCATAGTAAATTAACTTAAATAGTTACAAAGTGGATATCAAAACTGATATCACAAAGAACAACTGTTATCAATAATTGTTTCTGGATTATTTTCATGTAAATTGTTAAACAATGGTCCCCCATTAGTGAACTTCGAGAATAATGTCTACAAGCACCATGATGTTTTATATTAATTCATACAGGATTGAATTACTCAACATCATATTGTCGCCTAAATATATAACATAGGCCTTTGTGAAGGCAGTCAGAATATGATACATAGTGCTTTTCTCAACTTACAAATATATACTAATCAAATTACATTTGAATTCAGAAACTAAATTGTTACAGAAACATTTTAACAAATGGTAAACAAATTAACTTAAGCATACAGAAAAATAAAACTATGTCAATTTTCCCTTAGTCTAACTGATGCACAATACTAATGTTTAAATAAAATGTGGGGACTTGGGCTTAGAGGTATGGCAGTGGATATTTGACCTTAACAATGTCAGCTAAATACAATATATTATTGAATTCATTAATTTACTGCCAATTTAGAGTTTACTAGCATTATTTTGACATGATAGACATTAATTATGAAAGAGTAATAAAGACAAATTGAATAGTTTAAATTGAGGGATAACTTATGATAATAAGTAAGGAGGTCTGCTTTGGAGGACGAAAATCCGGTGCGCCGACCCTACGGGAGTAGGATAAGGCATGGGAGATGATGATGAACTTACGATAATAAATTAGCAATTAACTAAATGCAACATCTAAGGATTCTTTCAGCCTTTGCTCAAAACAAAACATATAATTAGGCTTTCATCCACATATGTTTTAAGTGTGTGATCAAAGTGGTAAATAAAAATAAACTAAAGTCACTTAAAGAACAATTAAATAAAGAAACAAATTGAGACAAATAATTAACTCAAAAATTATTTCATCACATTAAAGAGTTTGTAAATACAATGCCCCCTAAACTTTAGTATCTGTATTTCAGTGCATATTAAACTAAGTATTACTTTGTTCACTTTTGACTACTTTTCTCTCCTCCAGATTCATTTTTTGATGCAGAACTATATTGTGGCTTTCCATTTGCATCCCAAGAAGTTTTACATTTCTTAAATGCAAATGCCATGTAAATTGCTGAAACAAACAATGTCCATTATAAGAAGTACATGGATAAGTAAAATGAAAATGAAATATGTTTTGTTAGACTCACTTGCAACTTCCCATTCGCATGTACTCATAGTACCAAGGCGAGTATTTTCAGTCTTATAATTATTACTGTCCCAAAATACTTTAGCATGCTCATATTCCACCTCATCTCCTATTAATTCTTTACCATGTGGCGGAGGATATGTTTCAAAACACATAATCCTTTCTATCAGTTGTTTGTAATTTACTGAATAATCATTATAAAAATCAGAAAACCCTGCTTGATATACTAATTCAAGCCCATATTCTGCTGCAAGTTTTACAAATAATTTAAAATTCACTAAAAACTCAGGACAATTCACTACTCCTTCTAATTGAAAATCATACTTAGCACCAAAGAGAGGATAACCATTCCTAGGGTCAAACAACAATTTAATTTTATATATTCTATTTTCAAATGCATTATTCTCTGATTTTTGTGCTCTAGAAACAATTTCATATGCATTAGGTATTGTTCCAAAGAAATATCCACCAGGTCTTAAGCATTCTGATATATTTGTAAGCATTCTTCTTGCTTGTCCCAAACTTTCAAAACTATAATGCAATCCAAACTGACAACTGACTAAATCAAAGTTGATAGAAGGATCTCTGTATTTATGTCTTAAACCAGCTTTAGTGCAATCAAGTGCAATAAATTCCGCAGAGAACAAACGGCCTTGTCTACGCTTCAAATCTTCATAGCGAGCTTGACACTGCTGTATGGATACTTCAGCTATATCCGCAAAAATGACGTGATCTACTCGAGCTTTCTGCCATTTACTTAAATCGCCTCCCTTACCACAGCAAATGTCAAGAACTTTCAAAGCTTTACCATAGTCTTTTTCTTTTACCTTATCTATGTACTCCTGTATTAATACACTTTTGACCCAATTGTTAAAGTTCCTTAAATAGAAAATAGGAGAATTAAACCGTTCTTTTAACCCCTTGTCTTCTATGTGGTTGTAATGAGCGGCAACGACACTTGCATGTTCTCCTTTGCTTTGACTATCTTCATTATTATCGCCGTCCGCTGGTCCTTTTTTAACGGCATCGTTGTCATTAAGGTTTTGTAAGTCTGTAGCAACCGAAGTACTCATGTTAAGAACTATTTTTAGGCTGGTATTTTTATTAAAAATTAGCCTAGTTCAACCTAGGACAAGTGTTTTGCAACAAACAAAAATTAACAGCATAAAACTAATATTAACTATGTTGTCTAACTACTTATTCCTTTTAAGGTATTTATTGAATCGCAGCTGGATCTAAATTCTTCGATTCAATATAATATCAACTGTAATAATCATCATTCAACAATTTTTCTAATGCGATAGCATAATAATTAATGACAAAAACCTGACACCTGCCATCGAATTTGAGGCGATGACTGTGACAGCATGGCAGGCATGGAAGCATAATGTTGCTAACTCTCTGGTGATCGTACAGTGGCTTTACACTTTCCACACTCCATGGTGCTATAACAAACTAACAAACTTGACTTAAAATCCTTAGATAATAATAAAAATTGTACAGGCCAAAACCGTACAATTTCCATATTTAATAATCATTTTTCCATATCTAATACTAAGTTTCATTCGCTGCAAGAAGAAATTAGATAAATCTTAAAGTGCGACGTTGAAAAGTCAAACTTAAACTTATTTTATTCTAGGCAACATTACCACTGCTCTGAACCTTTTGCAAATGAGAACATTGAACCAATTCACCTGAAGTTGTTTATAACCACGGATAGCGCATGCGCATTCGTCACATTACAGCACTTAGAATTTGCGTTCGCTCGACCGGCCCGCGACCTCATGTAATCTCGCACAAGGGAAATTATACGTGGGCAAAATGAGTGTTGAAAATCCAGCCAGTGATAATGATTGTGAAGCAGTAAGTATCCATATTAACTATATTTTGGATATACTTTCATTTGATATATCATATACTTTTGAACAATCACTGAATTTTCTTGTTTACTGATGTTCAGTAGTGATTCGAAGCGAAAATTTTCTAAGTCCCAATATGGCGTCAACGACAATTCTCTAGTCGTATAGTAGCGTCGGTCGGTTGGCAATTTTTTTAGTTGTAACTTCTAGTATGAATATTTTTCTGTGTTATTAAAACATTGACTAAGTAAAATTGAAAGTCCCAAAAATTATTTTATAGGTTAGTTGTAATAAAAAATTATCTTTTCACAGGGAAAGGTAAACGGCAATAAAAATGAACACGTGAACGGGGTTCACAACGGATACAGCAGTTCTGACAGGCATAAAAGTAGTCACAAGTCGTCCAGCAAAGACAAGCACCGCGACAAAGACCGCGACCACAAAAGCTCGTCCAAACACAGCAGTAGTTCAAGCAGGTAAATATTCTAGAATTTTCTTATTCCACTTTCACTTACATTACATTGTAATGTGATTGTAACGTGTACTAACTTTTATTTTTATAGAGATAAGGATAAAGACAAACATTCAAGTAGTAAAAATCATAGTAGCTCTCACAAATCATCTAGTAAAGATAAAGATCGCGGCGATCAGAGAGAACGAAGTGAAAAAAGCAAAGATCGTTCTGATAAAGATAAAGATCGTAGCAGTAAAGATAAACACCGGAGTGACAAAGAGAAACACAGAGAAAAGAGTGATCTTGACAAACATAAGAACAACAGCAGTGATGGAGAAAAGAAGTCCTCATCTAAGGACAAGGAGCGGGAAAGAGAACATAAAAGTTCTTCTTCAAAAGATAAGGACTACAAATCTAAAGAAAGAGACAAGGACCACCATCGAAGTGATAAACATCGTAGTGATAAACACTCCAGTTCTAAAGACAAACATAGGTGCCTATTATTATTTACCATTTTTCTTCTTCTTTTAATTATGAATGTATGTATATATTTAGTTTTTATAGGTCCAGAGATAAAGAAAGAAGTTCAGATCATCATGACAAAATAAAATCTGAATTAGACTATAAGGAATCTGTCAAAGATGAACCAATGCAGGTAAATATTTATTGTCTAAGTATATTTTTTATTTGATTTAAGCACAATATGGACAATTTTTAGTGTTAATTTGAAAATTGGTTTCTTCAATATTAATAATGGTGTGATTAAAAAATGTATTTTTTATTTTAATTAGTTTAATTATCTTGTGTACAGATTGATGAGCCTGAAATAAAAGGAGAGATAAAGGAAGAAAGTGAAGATGGGTTTAATGCAGGCAATACAACTGTTTCATCGTGTGATTATTCAATGTCACAGTTTAAAGATGAACCTCTGTCTGAGCTTCCACCTGAAGAAGAAAGTGAAGAGGATACTCCACTGGTATTGTTTTTTTTTTAATGTTATTCCTACTCCAAAAGCTCAGTATTGTATTTCATATGTAATAACATAGCAATGATCCCAATATTAAAACATAAAAATGGTTGTACAATATTGCTTGGATGTTAAGTAGAGTATATATTGACTAAGGTTAGTTTTAGATACTGACACATTATTATCTCTTAATAGTATAAACATATCCTTGATTTTAAATTATGTAATTATTTTTGACTGTTCAATAGTTGGAACGGATGGGTGCAAAAAAACGTGTGGCCAGTGAAAGTGAAGAGGATACTCCATTGCTGCAACGAAAAAAATCAAAGAAAAAAGTGAAAAAGGGTTTGTATAGGACTTTTGTTGTGAACACGCCATATAAAAATAGTTTGCTATGGAACTTTTTTGTTCAAAAGTAAAGATATATTTACATAATATCACATATATGACACTGAAATAGTTAAGAAGGTTATAATTTCTACTGATTGCATTGAGACAGATAATGCTAAAATTCAAAACAAGGATAGTGTTAATACCTTACTTGCCTTTATGTGCTATTCATTAATTCATGATGATGACTATTTCTAGAGCCGACTTATGATGATGACGAAGAAGAAGAGATGCCTAAAAAGAAGAAAAAGAAACCAGAAAAGTCAAAGTCAACAAAGGTAAAAACAGAACCAAATGATGGTCCTAGTCCAACTAAGCGCAAAAAAAATCAAGAGGACGAACAGGAAGTTTGGAAATGGTAAATTATTTTTTGGGATATACAAAAATTTTTTTCATATGAATTGACACTATTCACATCTTTTTAGCAACTTTTATATAATATTTTCATTGATGAATGAAAAGCATTCGTTGTTATTAATTAAAGATATTCATATATATCATAATTTTTCCACAATATGGCGAGGTTTTCTACTATCGCACATTGGGCTGTATACAGTTGCTCCATAGACAACTTTATCTGATGTTTGAAATGTCTCTTTTTTTTGCTTGAATGTGCTTTGTATCAGTA